AGTTATTGGCACTATAATCCATAAGTAAAGGCTCAAATTAAATTTTAAAAATTAGTTTAAGTTAAGAGTTATTGAGTTATCTAGAGTTTATAGTTCATATTTTAACTACTATAAGATTATATAACTAACAAAAGATAAACTCATATAACACATATATAATTATATATAACACATAATAAAAACACACATTTTTACAACATATAACACATAAAAATACTTGTCAAAAACTATAAATTAAGAACATTTACAAATATAACATTTGTGAAATTTTCATTCAATGACATACCTTGTTTATACATGTGTATTATACAAATTTTATGCAGATTGGTTTTAGAATATGCTATATAGAATTAGTTGTATGAAAACCGAGGCTTTTTAAAAATAATAGAACTTAATCAAATGCTTGACTCTGAATTTTTTTTATTGTCATTGATTATTGTTAATAAAAGTGTCTTGTTTAAATAATTTATATAAATATTTATTATTTTCTTATTTAAATATACAAATATAAAGTTAATTAGAGGGAGGATACTACTTACAAAAAATCTAATATTAAAAAAATAATAAAAACAATTAATCAATGTAATGATTCAAGTATAAGTGAGTACAGCATCTTTCTTGTTCAGCAAACAAAGCTACTTAAAAAAATAAAATTACAATAAAAGCAATCAATCAATGCAAGAAGTCAAGTATAAGTGTATATAACTATCAAATAATGAATTAAAATAGTAAAACAACTTATTTTAGTCACTTAAATTTGACTTATTACATTGACTGAATTGAAAGAAACATTTGTACGACATTAAAATTCTTATTATGTATTTCAGGAAAAAAAGCATTTAATTATTAGGAGAACCTATTTGTAAAACATTTTTTGAGACTAATGAGTTTTTTGAATTTTTTCAAAATTCTATGAAAATATTTATTCAATAACGTATTAGGCATCTAAGCTTGTTTTGTATCAAGTCAAATTTGATTTTTTTACCTTTAGGCATTTTAAAAGAGCCTATCACGCACGAATGAGTAGCGGCAGCAGTGGCTTTAAATTAAAAATTAATTATATAGAACTAATTAGTTTGTATTTAAGACTAAAAGTTTGTCTAACAGCAAGCCTATAACTGCAATACTAGGACAGAGTAACACGGTGCTCCAGTTGATTATGCCACCATTATTTTTTCATCCTCTACTTCTGCCATGTTTTTTAAATTATGAAGCAAGTACGTTTTCTTGATTGTTTAAAGTTTGTAAGAGTTGCATTAACTCATTTATACAACCATTATTACCAGGTTGCTCCATTGTAAAAAACACTGCTGCATTAGGATCATATATGTTTAACTGACAATATGTGGAGAGAAAACCTTCTTCAGGTCTTAATTTCAAACACGATGCAAAATTTGCCCATAAACCCTAAAACAGAAAAGGCAGTTATTTGAAGGAGGAGGTATTTTGGCTGTGAAGGAAGTAAAAGATATAAAGGAATTAAAACATCTATCCTGATATCTTTTCATTTCTACAGCAATTTATCTCAGCTCACCTAGGCTCATTTCTTTTCAACGACAATTTACCTCAGCTAGACTATGCTCATCTCTTTCAATTTGGCAATGGTTCAATTTAGCTTGCCTAGCCTGGTTTCTTTCATTTCAACAAAGTCTATATACTTAAGAAAGTGTGTAAAAATGATGCTTAAAATAATAAAAGTTTTTTTTTTGCACTTTTATTTTAAGATTGAACTTTTAGTTTTCTTTCTTAATTCATAATTTATTTTAAATTCAGTGTAAGCAAATAAAACAGAGTATAATATAATATTCTAATTATATTCTACTCTACTATTAGTCATATTTAAATTTGATGTTTTAAAATAATTGAGCAATGTGTAAAGATAACATATTTCTATCAAGAACTTAAACTAAAGTTATAAATAAATTGATGTAATCTTTATAACTGAGTAATGTTATATTTAATGTAGTTTTTAATAATTATTGACAAAATATTATTAGTATTTGATCAAAAAAACAATAAAAAGTAATTAATAAAAGTTACAAAGTTTTTACAGATTAGAACTCATAAATAAAGCAAATTTAAAAAATTAAAAAAAAAAGGCTTGTCTGCTCAGCAAATACTGCTACCATTGAACAGTGAAATGTAATCCTCCATCAAAAAATCCCTTTCATTTTTTTGAAATGCATTTAATGCAAGATTTGCAATTAATAAGTAAATACAAAACTATTAATAGATATTTTCAATAAACAATCCTATATTATCTTCAAGTGAAGAAATTTGAAAATATTAAAACTTCTTGAAAATTCTAGTAACTTCTGTTATAATTTTTTTATATATTTAATATATTAAAGAAAAAAGATCAATATATAAAACATAATAATATTATGGAGAAAACATTCTCTATACAAAGAATCCTAAATATTTAATGGAAGTTAGTAAAACTTATGTAACACTTTGTATACTTAATTTTATTGAATTGTTTAATGGCATACCTCGTAATAAATGTTTAATAACTTTAAAAAAAATGATCAAATGACATGGTTTTTTATATTATAAACGCAAACGGATTTTTTTTTTAACAAGATTTTAAACAATCTTGTTCTTTAACATGCAACATAGAATTGACCTAGGACTTGAATGATGTTATTATTAAAATGCATGAATTAAATAAATTATCTGACTTTAAAAGTGACTATACTAATTTAAAAATAACATAAGGTTTATCCTTTACTACAGAAGGTATCAAATTAAAAAGTTTTTGATCTTATTACTAATTAAGCTGATGAAGCAAAGTTTTGATCCTATTACTGATTATACAGATGATAACAAATTATAAAAATTTAAGAATACCTCATTGCGTAGTCAAATATATAAAGAAAAAAATTTAAAAAAATGGGTAACAGCAGTAGTATTAAGTTAAGTATTAATTATAAGCGATTAGTTAATAATTGAGTTAAAGTTTTTCGCCCAAAAGTCTAAAGTTCTCTTATGGTTTTGGAGTTATGTGGTTTTAAAAATGAAAATTTTATTAAAATCACGGTATGGGAAGACATCACTCTATTTTATTTATAAGAAGAATATAGTTTTAATAAAGACCTACTTTAGATCGCAAAACCTTACCTTTAAATACTATGCAATGGGACCAAATTCATGGACATATCATTGAGTTAGCAAAAGGACCTTCAAATACAATGTAAGCACTGTTTTTAAAACTTTATTCATATAATTTGTTATAGAATTTTATAATTAATATATTTTTATAATTAATAATTGTTATACAAATTTTATTTTACAATTTTCAATTTGAAGGATTTATGAAGTTGTTGCAATGAAAATTAACATAAATACAATTGTTAAAAATGCCACATCTACTTATAAACTCTTTAAAGATTATGAAACTGCAGATTATAATGAACCTTACATTGCTGCTTCATTTAATGCATCTATGTTTGAAAAATACAGAAAATTTATTTTAGGTAAGTCCTTCTTTTCTATATAAAAAAATTGAAAAATGTGACTTTTATGTAAATGGGTAGCAATTATATTTTAAGTAATCACTTTTGTCAATTTTAAAAAAAAAAATTCTTGAATTTTAACTTCTAAACATTTAATTAAAAACTCTCTTTTTTTTTCTTTTTAAAGTGAAAGTTTTTTAGAAATGTTAGATGTTAAAGGTTGGGCGGAGTTTTAGGTAAATTTTGGGTTGTTTCATGCCAAATTGACCAAAAATTTTAGGGTTTCAACATGGAACACCATAGAATTTGATGAAACAGTGGGTTGGTTTTTAAGTTTTTATTAAAAAATAAATTTATTTCGTTAAAGTGTTTTATTTTAACGAAATTTTATTTTTAACAATCATTTATAAATTACACACAATTAACATTCATAATTTTGTTATGAAGGAAATGCAGTTTTATACTGTTTGTTGAAATTGTATTCTTTTTTATAGAAAAAAATAGTCAGTTGATTACAATTTGTAATCTCTGCATTTGCTTAAAATGAGTTCAGACTGTGGCAAGTTTTTGGAAAGCTTTCTTTGCTCTCAGACAGTCAGCAATATATTCTGACACTGATCTTCATTGTGGAATGTATCAACAAATTCTTGGATAAGACTGATGTTTCTTTCTGCACAATCATTAGTGGTATTTAATCCAAAGTTACAAAAGTCTTTATAAGGTGCAAGTATCTAGAAGTTTTCTTAAGTCTGATACCACTTTTTTACAGCACTTGTTGTATTGGTAAGAATAAATAAAAGCCAGGTTTCCTCTGTGATTAAGTTTACAATTTAATATGAACTTTGATGATATTTTACCAGGAGCTTCTAAGCATAAATCTTTTATTTTTGGCATAGGGAATGTATGTAGCTTCCCTATGCAACAATTTTGTTAAACCTTTTAAGATCAGGATTGCCCAATAATAAGAGTTTTTAATACAGCATTAACAGCATCATAATCTTTCCAAATGGTTTTATTGTGCTTTGTATGCTCCAAGGTCATTTACAATTGCATGTTCAGCAGTGCTAGATTTCAAAAATGAAGGAGAAAAGTATAGGGCAACAATAAAGTTAACCTTGGAAACTAGAATTTTCTAATCATCACATAGAAAGTTAATAATTCAAGGTGTTCTTGCATTATATTTAGCCTGTGGTAGGTAAAAACTATACTTTTTAAGCTTGTGTGAATTGATATTTATATAGAATGCAAGGTATTCTACTAAGTGATTATAATTAGTCTCTAAAACAGCATTATGGTTTATGGAATGAATTTCTTAGAGTTGCAATATAAACCTTATAGATCAACTTCTTGTTTTTCTTGTTTAAACTTTTTGAATTTCTTCTCTCCACATGCTTTTCTAACGATAGGGTAACAACCATTCAAGACTGCTTAAATTCTATTAATGGACATATGGCTCCTGATTTCTTTTTAGTGTTTGAAACTGTTGTCTGTACACACATCAATAATATTTTTTGATTTTTCAAAATGTTCTACCAGATTCTGGAGTACAATAACTATATCACCACAGGAAAAACTCTGAAAAGTCAATAATTGTTAGATGAAAACTCAGAACTTGTAACTGATACTGCTAGTCTATCAAGAACTCTCTTCCTATATTCTTCTTCTATGTGCTTTAAAAATTTTCATCAAAGTATAGCTTTACAGATTTCACAACCTAAGCAGGTTTTTATCATTAAAAACAGTTTTGCAATTTCATCAACCAGCAGTTTATCAAAACAGATTATTATATTCTTACAGTCTTATATTCAAAACTAAAATATTAAAACAGTCTAGATTTAGACTTTGTTGGTTCATCGCTAAAGTCTTAATCATAATCAGGAACCATTATCATGATAATGATAATAAGCCATAATCATTACCACAAATCTTTTAACATTGAGAGAAATAACATATAAAAATGACAATTGGTTGGTAATTGCCTGCTAAATAGTGAACTTAGTAGAATTTCAAAGAGGTAGACAGGCCTTCTTGGGTTGCAATTGATCAGTGTTACAAGCCTTCTTAAGCTTTTCCTCTTCCCATTTTTCTGAAGTATTTAAGTATTTGAAAAAAAATTGATTTAAGTATTTAGAAAAGTTTAAATAAAAATTAATCAACTTTGCATTCAAGTGTATAGAAAGTTTTTATAATAAGAACTAAACAGCAGACAGTAATAAAATATTAAAACAGTCAAGGAAGGATGGGGGAGTTAGTTGAGTCATATATATATATATATACATATATATATATATATATATATATATATATATATATATATATATATATATATATATATATATATATATATATATATATATATGTAAATATATATATGTATATATATATATGTATATATATATATGTATATATATATATATGTATATATATATATATATGTATATATATATATATGTATATATATATATATGTATATATATATATATATATATGTATATATATATATGTATATATATATATATATATGTATATATATATATATGTATATATATATATATATGTATATATATATATATGTATATATATATATATGTATATATATATATATGTATATATATATATATGTATATATATATATATGTATATATATATATATATATATATATATTTATATATATATATATATATATATATATATATATATATATATATATATATATATATATTATATATATATATATATATATATATATATATATATATATATATATATATATATATATATATATATATATATATATATATATATATATATATATATATATATATATATATATATATATATATATATATATATATATATATATATATATATATATGAAAAACCACTACTGCAAAAGTAGTAAAAAGACAAATCACATTTTTTGCTATAAAAAACTTTCTGCTATAAAAGTTGCTTTTTTGAAAAATATTAAAATACATAAAACAGCAACTTAGTTACGCAAGAGTGTATGTATCATAACATAACTTGATGTAGTACAACATGTAGTTAAAAAAAATTTTCAGTTTTTAAAATGTCTTATAAAATATATTTTTTTGATTTTTAACATCATTTGATAAATCTGAAGTGACATAGATAACCTAATAATTTTTTTAGGCAGCAAAGAAGTATTTTCAAACAATGGTTCCAAGATGTTTCATAATAATCAAAATTATATTGATCACTATTTTAATGGTGAACTGATTGCTGGTCAAACATACACCTTTTTTCAAAGAAATATTCTTGATGATGTAATTTTTAATCATTGTTATTTTGTTTCTTAGTGGTATTTAAATATTTTTTTAAATAAAATGTATATAGGGCATTCATACCATAAGTGAAGTGGGTTGGAGTTAACAATGCATTAAAATAACAGAATATGGTGCACTATATAAGCACTAACAGCATTTTTTTTTTATTGTAATGATGTTATTATGTTGTTATTTTCTACACTATGTTTTGATATTTATTTAAATAACAGTTATAATGTTGTTATAACAACAACAACAACAATAACAAGATAATTATTTTACTTGAAATTTACAATCTTATAATTACAATAATATAGTAATAATAATTATTATTATTTTAACTATAATAATAACAATAATGATAAACAAAATAATAATATTAAGAATATCTATAATATTATAAATAATTAAACCAAAATATCATTAACAAGAATAAATATAAATAAATATTTGACAAGGATGGAGTCACTCATGCAGTTACCTGATCAAAGGAGTGACACCAAATAATTATTTTAGTAATATTAATTTAAAAAATTATAATAATTACAATATTTTTGTTCATTAATAAAGCAAAAGTAACTGGAAAAATAATAGTATTTATAATAATTATAACAATTATAGTAATATTAATGATAATAATAATAATAAAAATAGCAGTAATAAAAGTAATAAATAATGATGACAAAAAAAATGTCATCAATAATGAAGACAAAAAAAGTTTCTATAAGAATAGTAAGAAGAAAAAGAAAAATGAGAAAACTAAAAGAAGTTGATAATGATAAAAAATTAAAATTAAATTATTTTTAAAAATTGTTTAAATTGATTTTGTTTTAAATAAAGAAATGAAGGCAAATTATTCTGAAGTTTTTATTTTTCAAACTCATTCACAGTGCACATAAGCCTTTGATTCCATTCTCTCATGCACTGATGTGTAATTAAATACTTACCATACCTCTAAGTTTTATAGGGAGTACATTTAGTTTTCCATTATTGATGTTTGTAGTTAAATGTGAGTGTATAAATTGAGTTTCAGTGAAGAAGGTTGTTATAGAGGAATGAAGAAATAATAGTTAGTTATAAAATAACAAAATGTTTTAATTTGAATATAGTTAACAGTAAAATGCTTTTATATTGTGATCCAGTTGATTGAAAAGAAATTTCATACTATAACACAAAAAAAATTTTAAATAAACATGCAAAAAAAAATGTTAAGGTTAAATATATTTTTACATAAATCATTAAACAAATATATAAAATTGAAAAAAATGACAACAAAAAATTAAAAGAACAACCATGAAAAAATTCAACTAAACTAAAAAGATTACTCTTAATTAAGATTATTTCTTAATTAGGATTTTTATTTTTGGAACTTGTTGCAAATAAGTTTTGTTGACCCTGAAAAATTTTTTTATTATTAATCAGATTAATGATGGTTTTTTTAATTATTGTAAAAGAAATGAAATTAAAATTAGACTTTTATTTTTGGTTCATTGAACCTCTAGCAATCAAGTAAGCAATTTAATAAATTTACAATAGAATCCAAAATTTAAAATGCTTAAGTTGTGTAAGTTAATGTTTTATTATCATATTACTGTGAAAGTGATAATAAGGTGATGATAGGCGAATAAAGAAAAATAAAAGCTAAAAGTTCAACTAAAAGCTAAAAATTTAAAAAGAATCTTTCTTCTAAAAGCGCCAGCCTGCACTTAGACACTAAATAAGTAATATTTGGAGACTCTTTATGATTTGAAACATGATAGCATTGTTGTATTGTTGGTCGACTAGTGCTTGGATGACTTTTAGTCCAATGTTGTTGCTAAAGTGTATTAAATAAGAAACATACAACATACGTTGTTGGATTACTGTTTTATATATATTACACTGTGTTTATAAATCTAACTTTTTCAAATTTAACTTTTCTTACTGAAAAATCTAACTTTTCTTACTGAAAAGCAACATTTATAATAGATTTAATTAATAATTAATTTACAAAGGAATTGTTAATTCTGTTAACAAAACAATTATCAGATCTTTTATAAGCAGTTTTGAAAATGTTTTAACAGACAATTTTTAAAAGTATTTTTATTATATAAATAAATTTTTTATTTACAGATACATAATTAAGTGCATAACCTATTACATTCATAGTTACATGTTTTAAGGCCCTTTGGCTCAAACATTCAGACTCTTTGGTAGAAAAAACCTAAAATTGCAAATATTGATTACTTGCATTACTTGCGCTATTTATATTTGAAACTTTGTACTTCTAGTTTTTTCATAAAAGAGTATAAACAAGTTAAATAATCATCACACCACCCTGCTGTTGCTGTAATATTTTCTTTACAATTCATCTAAAAATGTTACAAATATTTATGGGTAAACATTTATTTTTTAAGTAAAACATTACTTACATAATGTTTAAAGAGATACAAAGTCATAATTGCTAAAATAAATTTAGTTTTTTTCTTGTAAATAAATTTATAGATTATAAGGATTTTTGGCTTTTCTATACCTTTTTCAATTTTCATGCTGTTTGATGGTTAGAATTATTAGAAAGTTATTTAATTTTTGATTCGAATTCAGTTTCTAATTCCAATGGTGTAGTTGTTGAAATTGTCACATTTGTTCTTTTATATGGATATTTGTATGGATTATAAACTTGTGGGGTTGTTGTACATATGTTTTATGTCCAGTTATCTAAGTTATATAATTTATGTACTGTTTTCTTTTTTTTTTTTATCTGTTATGTTACTTTTTTCTTTTTTTTTGTTAGATAAACTGTCATTTTTTTATGTTAAAGTAAAATCAAGTAATAAGTAAATTAAATCTCCATAAGTTACAAAAAATTTATTAAAAGTCATAACTCAATTGCTGCTCCAACCCATACCCTTAATTGATGTAGCAATATAAATTAAAAACAGTTTTGTTTACTGATTTTGATAAAAAGTCTATTTATTTGTCTTTTTAAAATTTTATATATTTTTTTTGTTTTCTGGATTTTTTTATCTACACATATGAAAATCATTTGAGGAGTGGATTTACAAAACCAGATAATTAACTTTTTTTTCATTCTGCAAAAAATGTTTTCCAGTAAATCGAATAACTAAAAATTATAAAATTAAAAGTTAAACCATAGATATCATTAAAAGAATGTTTCAGACAAAAATTTGAAAATTGTGCTCTATTGATCTTATTTTTATTACAAAATGAAAAATTGTTTTATCTGGTTTTGCATGCCAAAAAAATTCGGAAGTTTATTTCTAACTGGTTTTCAAAAAAGCTTTATGAAGTCAACTTGACTTGTGACAATTTTAAAAATCAAAATTATTGTGCAAAATGTCCCTCTGCCATAGAAAATAAGTAATTACAATGTTTGATACTTTTAAAAGATTGATGAAGTTAAAACTCAATTGTAACTGTTTAAATATGAATTTTTTTAATTTTAATGAGTTTTTTTGTATGCGATTTTTTTCTTAAATCACACTTAACATCCTCCAGTTTTTTAAAACATCTTTTAAACAGAATGTTGATTAAAATTTTTGTCTTGTTTTGCATCGACAATAATTTTTTTTTAACTGATTTTGCACGGACTAAATAACTTAAGGGAGGTAAAATATAATTAAAAATAGTGGCTTTTAAATTTAATTTTTATGTCTAAAGATGTAGGAATATTATTACTACAAAAAAACATTGCTTTTTTTTTACAAAGTCTTTTTTTTTAAAAAAAAGAATTATCTGGTTTTGCAAGTCCACATTTATTACAGCAAAATAAATTTTACTTTTTTTTTGTTAATATTTTTTTTTTTCTTTATTTTTATTCTCATCATCATTTAATAAATTAATATGTTTTAAACATTAATTGTAATAGTATTGACCAAAAAATCAGGGGTAATGCCAGTGTGTGTGTTTGTAAGTGCATAAATTTATTCTACCTTTATTTGTTTGTAAATGCTGTATTTTTTATTAATTATATTTTAGGGCCGAATACTTACTAGTCCATGGTTTCCTGAGTTTAATGGTAATTTTCAAATTATTGTTTTTTAAGTTTAGCAGATGAGTTTCTTATAAATTTTCAGCAGACAGAGCTATGTATTTTAACAATATTACTTTACAATGATTAACCAGATTAATGATGTGTACTATAAATATAAATTTGTTCATCATTGACCTAATGTTTATATTTTATATCCATAGAAAATATATGGCTAAATATGATAATAATAATTATTTGTAGATGTTTGGAATAATATAAAATTACTGAAAAATATTCTACCTTTTTTTTTTTTTTTTTTGATATTTTTATTTTAATTAATATTGGCATAAAGACACTAAAATTTTAGAAAAATTACTTAAAACCAAAAGGTTGCTGACCAAAACAATGTAAATTTAAAGCTAAAACTGAAAATAGTTACATTGATACTATGTTTTAAAAGAAAGGTTTGAAAAAAAAAAAGAAAAATATATTTTTATTAAAATTTGTTTACAATTAACAAAACAAAATATTATTTACTAAATATATATTTAAATAGGTATTTATAAAAAACATTTAACTTCATCTGTAATTAGTAGATTAAAAAAGTATAAATAGACTTAATGTGTGTATATATTTTTACCTGACCACTTTTCTCTCCCTTCTTATTTCATCTTTGGTTTGGAGTACCCCATACTAAAGATAAAATAGGAGAAAAAAAAGGTCTTTATGTATCTACAGATACATAAAAAAAAAATTTATTTATGTATCTGTAGATGTTCTAAAATTTGTTGTTTTTGCAGTTGTTGGCTGGCTATATCTTAAATGAAATTAAATATTTAGAAACAGTTTTGATTAATGAAACCATCTTGAATAATGAGTTTGAACATATTTTATTCGATTGAAAGACAACATTAGCAAAAAGAAAAAAGTATGCACCTAATTTTAGATAATTCATATGGTATCTACCAAATTGCTAACAGCTAATTTGTAATGAGTAAAAGAAAGAAAGAATCATTTAATTGATAGAACATATCATTGACAGAATATATCATTGACAGAATATATAATAGACAGAGCATAATTAAATACATTTAAATGACAGCAGATTGACTCAATTAAGCTCAATACTGAGTTGCAAAAGATTAGTTATAAAATTAATCCAAACTTCTTTCCACTATCTGCTGATAAAGTTAATTGTAATCAGATTTTAAAAAGCATAAACCCAGTAAATTAGCTGGAAAAGTGAAAATAAAAACATTATTTGATCAGTTTGCTTGTCTGTGCAATCTTTTAATTTTTTTTAGTAAATTATTAAATATTGTTAAATATTACTTTAATAATTGTTTTTTAATGTTAAGTGAATTAGTATGAGATTTTATATAGGTAGATGTATTAATTTTCTTCCAACATACTTAGGGAAGGATTGACTATCCCCAAAAAAGTTGTGTTTTCCAAGTTTACTTGACCAGATTTGTATAATTCAGTTTGGATGTCAAAATTGTTGTACTCTGTAAAACTTGTACTGCTTAACAGGAAATTCAGCTTGCTGAATTTCCTGTTAAGCAGTACAAGTTTTAAAGTTTTACACAAAAAATGTGCCCAAAGGGACATTTTTTGCTGCACAATAACTAAGTTACAATTAATTCTTTAAGTTTGTTGTATTTTGTTACACTTTATTGCAGGCAAGTACGTTTATAGTGGCTCCTATATTAATTTATATTAGAGCTATAAAGCTATAGATTTAACAATTGCTAATGGCGTTTTAAAAATATTCCGCAATCATATGTGACCTCACTAAGAAGTTGGCCTGTCTCTTTATGATAAAAACCTTAAAAACAAGTAAAAACAAATGATTGTCAATAATATACTATTGTTAAATGATTGTGAAAATAAATAAGTTTGTTGCTTGAGGTTTGGTAAATCTATTTTTCTGATGATTTCAGATAATTTTTTATATACACACATTTAAATGTTAATAAAATATCAGCTTTTTAGTTGTTGAGATTTTGAGAGGTTTTTTGAACTTTACTTTCTACTGTTAATCTAATGTTGAAATTTTTAAATTTGTAAAACATACAATTTAAATTTATCATAATTAAAGCTTAGAGTAAGTTGCAACATATTTCAGGTCAAAATTATACTATGCATGCTCATTCATATTTCTTTGATGGATGTTATTGTATCAAAACAAATTAGAGTAGTTCTGAAAAAGAATGCTATTTCATTAAAAATGAAAGGTCTAACTAAAATAAAAAGATACAAAATTTATAAAATAAATAGTCCTCATTTTTAAGAAATTCTTGTATTTTATAAAATTGATAGCTATATTGATCTTCTTTTGTTTCTTCACAAATAGCATACCTTATTCTTAAACTAATTTATATTTCTATGTGAATACTTAAATGTTTGTTTAAATCAGCTCAAAGTATTAACAATGTTTTTTGTTTGTCTCAAAATTTTTAAGCTAAATATTTTAAACTGCATCAGAATGGAAATCTTAAATTTAAATTTGCTACCACTAAGCATCGTCAGATTAACTAAAAAAGATATTAAACAAATTTTTTTGCTAAACTAAAAAAGATAATGAATAACTTTATTTGTAAAAAAAAAAATTCTTTAATAATCCCTTTGGGCATTTGTTTTTAGAAATTAGGTTCTAAATGTCTAAACGTTTAAAAGACGTTTTTTAGAAGACGTTTAAAAAAAATTACTTGATGGATTCTTTTTCCATCCTACTGCCTAAACACAATTGTTTTTTCAAAGTAAAATGTTTCTAAATGTATTTAAAGTTGTTTTTTTATGGCTTTTGTTGAATGTGTTGGTATGTTCACAATTTTTTCTATTGGCTCTTATTTAACAAAATGTAAGATTATTTTTGTGCTCCTTTTTTTTTTTCAAAAATTGTGAAATTTTTATGTTAGATTTCCCCTGTTATTTTGAAAGCATTGTGATCATAGGATATTTGATGAATGGATACTATCCATTCACCGCTTGTGTGAAATAATAATACGGTTGTTCCATAAAATTTCATGGATATTATAAATTGTTATTACTCTCTAAGTTTTTAAGCTTTACATATAAAAATTAAACAGAATCATATTTATATAGAGTATTTATTTCTTCAACAGTTTCAATATTAAACTTCTTCTATCAACCTAGTATTTCTAATTTTTCCAATTGTTTTTTCACAAAATTTCCAAGTTAACTTGATTAGGTCTTTTATGAGGTTTCTAACCACTTTCTTGAGTCTTTTAAGATAAAATTTATCCTAACATAAAGTTGTTTTAGATTTTTTGTCTGCCAGTTCTTTGCATAGGTCATTCCCTTTAGAATACTCCAAAAATCCTCAGGTGGACAACATTCTGGTATGATTGGCAGGTTTGTCAGTTTGGTCACATAATTTATAAGATTATTTTTTAAAAATGATGACACTGTCTTTGCATAATGCAACTAAACCAGGTCAGGGCAAAATAAGTATTTTATATTTTACTAGCCAAGGAGTTCAATGTTGCTTAAGTAAAAAATACTATTTCCACTTAATGTGAGCTAAAGTAAAAAATGACATCATCAATAATGTAATGATTTTCCTTGCAAATTTCGACAATGACATCACCATTTCTTTCTTGCTGATCATTATTTCATATTGGTATCTTTTTTATTTTTGGCAACTGATACTTGTTTTTTTTTTTTTTTTTTTTTTTTTTGAGTAGTTTATATAATTTGATAAAATAATTAATAATAGTTAATTTGATAAAAATGTAGAACAAATTTTTTACAATATTTTCTTGTATATATTTTGTATTTCTTTGAAAAAACTAAGTTAATAAAAAAAAAAAAAAAAAATAGTGTACTAGTTTTGTCAGTTGAAGATAAATAGTTTTCCTGTTTTGAAGTTTTCCTTATTATGATGTTAATTTAACATTAAACTATTTTTAATATAAAGTAAGCTTGTTTAGTTTTTTACAAAATGCAAATGTTATTTTTAAATATATTAAATTCATAAAAATAATTTTTATAAAAACAATTTGAATACAAACTACATATTAAATTCTAAGCAAAAAATTGAACTGTAAACAAAATATTGAAATGATTAGAGAAAGTTTTTACATTTACAACCATATTTTTTTATTTAAAGCTTCTATCATCAATTCATCTCCTCTAGTTGGAAAAAAAAAAGCTGCAAATTACTCATATCTTTTTGCATTGGCAGCCATACCAATTATTATAGTGCTTCTAATATCATTTTTGATTAGGTACTTTACTTTTTTTTGATAATTGGAGATATATTAATAATTATTTACTGATTGCACATGTAGTATATATTGTGCATTTATCACTATGTCAGTTTAATATTAATTAATTTATTTATTTATATATATATATATATATATATATATATATATATATATATATATATATATATATATATATATATATATATATATTATATATGTATGTATACACATATATATATTATATATATATATATATATATATATACACATATATATGTGATATTATATTGATGTGTGTATATATATATATACATATATATATTAATATTATATTGACTTGTGTATATATAATTATATACACATACATATATATATATATATATATATATATATATATATATATATATATATATATGTATATATATATGTATATATATATATATATATATGATATATATATATATATATATATATATATATATATATATATATATATATATATATATATATATATATATATATATATATATATATATATTAGGCCGGATCATAACTTAAAAAAATTTGGAAAATTTCTTCGGGAATTTCCAGTAATTGGCTCTCAAATACGCTGAATGCAATGCTGCAAACCGTTTTTCGCTACTACTTTGCTATACTTTGCATTTTTACCTTTGAAGTTTTCAAATAAATTAACTTAAAAACGCTCATTTGTTACATTATTTATTGATTGAATGTATAATAAAATTCAAATTATTTGAACAGTCAAAACAATATATCATTAGCAAACGTTGATTAGAAACTATACTAAAATGTTCTTAAATTCAAATTTTGTGTCAAAGTGAGGCATCAACTTGCGGCGCTCCAGTTGAGTGCGAATATAGCCATCACGATTTTCATGACCATAAACTTTGGATGCTGATTCAGACACAATTTTAATCACATGTTCAACACTTTGATTGTGACATGGAAATGGCTCAATGTCAATAACTATGTCTTCAACTGACGAAAGCCATGCCAATATTTGTACAGTTGGAGCAGCATGTTTGCCAGTCAATCAGTTCTTCATAACTAGTCGTTTGAAATCAGATCTCAGGGAGTTGAAATTTTCGATTTGGTATGTCATCTTCATGAGCACGAAGAATTCTCTTCAACGCAAGCTTACGGATCACTTGACGGTTGTCTTTGAGCATAGTCAGAATAATGCTCTCCATATGAGCCGGGTAGCTATTGCGCTTCAAAACTTGCTGAACAATTATTCAATAACGCACAGGAAGAAATTGTGATGTTTCTATCATTTTATAATAGTGTGGAGCAGCATTCCAGCAGTTTGAATGTTTCTTAATCTCAAACCAAACAACCGCATATGAATTCACAATAAATTTAGCCAAAAGTATTAGTTCATTTGATGGATCTTCAGTAGATATATAGAGGCGTAGAACACGGTGTGCTAGTGTCAACCACCTTGCATGGTTTAGTCGCCCAGGTGTTCTAGAATTAAATCTATCTGGTACAACACCTGTCTTCACCGCATTTACAATTTCGAAAAAGTAAAGTTGATCACTGCTTAACAACTGCTTATCGCATATAATAGGTTCACCAACAATTATGGCAAAGCTGACTATGGGTTTCTGAACAGACATTGAAACAGACTTGCCAATTGGTCCATTAAATGAATGGGGTCCAGTTGTTGCACCATCTAAGGAGTGAAAAAGATGTCGCAAAGGAAGCTCGTTCAGATGTAAAAGACAAATGGACCAGTGCAGTGGTCGACCAAGTTCAATTTCCATTCTGTGTATAACTCCATTGTTTAAACCAGTATTAACGTTAGTTGAATCTGAACCAATACAAACAAGGTTCGTGCAGTCAACAGTATCAATTATTGAATCTGCAATGGATTTGGCTGATCCACTTGTTGGCGTACAATGATCAACATACTTTGAATTTGGCTCCGATAAAATGGAAATATGTTCCTCAGAAATCACAGTCTGCCTATCCCCCTCAATTTTTAAAGTCTGATCTTTCCTTCCATCAAAATACAATCCAGTAATTCTACAATCAGCATTTTTACAGGATGTTCTCAGTAGTTTTCGTTCTCTTCGAATTTTATTCCAATCCACTGGCCCCATATGAGAAAGTTTCTCTGCTAGTCTCTTACAAACAGACCGCAGTGGTTCAGTTTCATAATTCTTCTCAGACAAGTATGCTTTGCCTACTTGCTTGTGGGTTGGCAAGCAAAAATTAGGTAATTCACGACCTTCTCCAAAAAGTATGACGATTCTTTGAAGCTTTAGATCTTGAAATCATTATTGTTTTACAATTTTATAACATATCAGAATTTCAGTTAATTTCTAAAAATACAAGATGAGATGGATAAATTCTGCAATCAGTTGATAAAAGCAGAAATTAATAAACAATCATATAAAAATAGAATAATATAATAATAATAATAATAATATAAAGTTATAATAGCGTTGGAGTTAATCATATCATTAGGGTTAATTTAGTTAGGTAGGTATAGGTTTGGTTCAATTTCATAACCTTGGGATTATATCTAGTATTAGGGTTAAATGCATGTTTCAGTTAATGCATGTACTAAAGTAAAAATACTTAGCATATAAAACCTTAAAACTTAAAAATGCAAAGTATAATCAATTCTTTAGAAATATTTTTTTTGTAAATATTAAACAACACTATATCACGCCACTTTTCACAAGTTAAAAAAATTAATTTTTATGATCCGACCTAATATATATACAGGCCTAGCGATAAAGTGTCGGGCGATGTGAATTTTACGTCGTCCAAGAGCGATTTTGCGTGTAGCTCGGGCTATTTGCGTCGAGCAAAAAAATTTTTGTTTGAGTATTTTTGAAGATATTTTTGAGCGGAATTTTAATGAAGTAATTTACGATTATTTTAACATTTAATAAAGTATTTTAAAACCGCATGCAGTTGATCTAAAAGTTTGAATTACAAAAAAACTAAATATGCTCATTATTTAGAAATTATCATTATATAGAAAATATCATTATATGGAAAAAATTCAGTTTAAATCTTTTTAAGCTAACATTTAATAAAATTATTCAGCAATAGCAAAGTTGTCGATAAAATTGAACAAAAATGCTTTCTTTTAGTTTTAGATTTTTAACTTAAATAATAATTTTAAGTAGGTTTGTTAGGTTTTAAAATTATTCCATAGATTTAAAAATATTTATTAACTGTTAGATGTATTTAAAGTATTTAAGAGTAATTTCGAGGAAACATTTTAAAAATTGGTATGCGCAAATAAAAAAAAATAAAAGGAATAATATTAAAACGTATTCTACTTAATTCAATAAAAGTACAATTATTAAAATTTTTGTAAAAAGTAACTCAAAAAAAATTACTTACTTAATAACAATCGCTTTTTTGTTAAAAGTTACCGAAACAGCTCCTGAAAAGTTTGAATTACAAAATCCTGAAAAATAGAACGTTAATAGTTTAATAAGTTTATATAACCTAGTTTTGTTACCCGGTTTCTACCCATGTAAAGCGAATTTTCACAAACACCCTGAAAAAGGCTTAATAAACGTAAAAAATAAGTTAAAAAATAATTTGCAACCTGTAATCATAAGCTATTTCATAAAACTTAAAATAGTAATCTAAAAGTATATCTAAATGAGGACATATATAAAACGTGCATTAATTTTTTTTCTTAAAAAAAAAGAAGTTGTTTTACTACTACTGATAGTGCAAGTAGATTGTTATATTTTTTAGTATTTATGAAAATAAATAAAAATAAATAAATTAAAAAATATTATATCGCTGGTAAAAATATTAGCTATTGCACAGTTTTTAATCGTACAATATTAAAATTTCCAGTTTATTACTCGCTGACTTTTTAAAAAGAAAAAATAATTATTTGAAAAACTTTAAATTACATATTTGTGAAAAAAAAAAATCAAATATTAGCATAATTTATAATCTTTTTTAAATGTTTAGTTATAATCTTTTTTATTCGTTTAGTATAAACAAAACGTGTCAAATGTCCAGAAAATAAACAAGTGTTTTTACATTTTAAAAAATGAAACATTTCAAAACATTTTTAAATAATAACATTTCTACGTTAATGATTTAAAGTAGTTTAAATTAAAAAGATTTGCGGTAATTAAGTAATTGGTACAGTTAATGTCGATAAATATGAAAAGCAAATAAAAAGAATTTAATGACTACAAAAATCACATCGTGCTTATGCGTCGCGCAGTTTTTATTCATCAAAAGGCCTGTATATGTATATATATATAAAATGTATATAGGTAGTCAGTGTGATGTCATAATTATTTCTGCTTGATATTTTGTTCCAAGAAGCATAAAAATAATTCTGTGTTCATTTGGACAAAATTTAGAATTAGAACAACAAAGTTATAGATTTCATAGCTATTACTACTAGCCAATAACTAGTATTTATGAATCCCAATTACATAATTTTTAGATGTGGCTTAAAGCTTTTTTTCGTGCAGACCGCAGACTTTACTATACATACTTGGCAGACATCTATAATATAATATATTTCTAACATTCTAAAATTTTTTATATCATAGAATAAAATTTAGAAAGACAGTTAAATGTTCAATAAAAATTTGAAGTAAATTTTTTATTTGGTAATTTTTTATTTGGTTTCTCAAAAGTTATGATAACTGAAATTTAACTTCCTTCAAATAAATAGGTTTTAAGTGTTTTCTCTCACCACTACAAGACTATGAAAAAACATGCATAAAAGTGCAACAAATATGTGAATGTTAGCAGCTTTTTTGAATAAAGTGCACATTCCAATGTTAACAGAATGTGTACTATATCAAAATTGAAAAAACTTTATGAAATATGGATTGACTGAATGACTGAAACTCTGGAAAAGTATTAGACAGAGTTTGTTGATAACCTTGATAATTTTTTCATATTACACCTTTAGCATATTCAAAGAGAGAAAGGCTGGAGTAGTTGTATGTGATTTTAGCTTATTTTTCTTGAAGACACACTTGCTTGAAGAGTTTCATTTATGCTTACTTGGGCCATGCCAATATTGCAGATGAATTTTAAAAACATTGTACACTTTTAAAATCTGGATGCTTAGAAAACAATTTAAACTAACCAACCATAAAAAATTAGAATTGCATTCAATCTGAATTTTTGTTGCATCAAGCCTCAGTTCTTAGTTCCTCTTGCTATATTCACACCTAATAATAATCTAAATATATTAAAAACATTAGTAAAACTTTATAAAATTTTTCTATTTCCAAATCATCCAGTTTTATCTTTAGTTTATCCAATTTGTTATCCATCTGTAGTTTATCAGGAAAGAACTTATATATATACATTGCTACTTTAATATATCATAAATGATTAATTTTTAAATGTTGCTTAGATTGTTTTACAAAAAAAACTATTGTGAAAAAACTTAGGTTGTTCTGTACAAAAAAAACTATTGTGATAAATAAAACTTTCAAACTTATATTTGATTCTGGTTTTGAAACATTACAACATTAATTATACCTAGATATTATAACTGTATTATATATTATATTATATAAATATCACATTTTAATTAGATTTATTCTAAATACAATTAAATTTTTATACTTAAAATACAAACAATTATAAAAGTGATTATAAAGTTTTGACACATGGTTGAATTTATAGTTAAATTTATTTTTATTTATATTTTAATTTATAAAAGATTTTTTTTTTTTCTTTTTTTCTGTTTCTACTAATTTTAGAAGAAGAAAAAATGTTGATGATGATAAATTAGTGTTTTCTCAAGAAATGGATGATATAAGTATCCAAAAATCATTTCAAGGTAAGGTTTAAAGTAAGGTACAAGTTATCGTTTATATCTGTTACTTATGTTTAAGGTTAACTTATCTTTAGATATTTATTTATTAGATTTTACTCTAAAAGAGACAGAATGTTATGGCAACTTAAATACTGTTCAGAAATGGCAACCAATAACAGTGAAAGAATTTATTTATTTTTACTTGGATGTCAAAAAAAAAGATAACATAGAACTTATTACACAGTTTGAGAGTGTTCCTGCAAACAAAATATATACCTACAATGAGGCTACAAAATACCCTCAGAAAAATAGGTATGCAAATGTTCTCCCATATGACCACTCACTGGTCAAACTAGTTTCAGATTTCACTAATTATGAAAATACTTATATTAATGCAAATTACATACACTCCTACTCCAAAAAAGTAACTTATATTGCAACCCAGGCTCCTATTAATGAAACAATTGTTGATTTTTGGCGAATGGTGTTACATGAAAAACCTAAAGCTGTTGTTATGCTTACTAATCTAGTTGAAAAAGGTAAAATAAAATGTGCTCAATATTGGCCAGAAAGTAATGAAGAATATGGTGGTATTAATGTTTGTGTTACGAAAACAGAAAACTTTGCTGATTATATTATTCGTTATATTTCTTTAAATTTTAAGGAAATCAATCATCATTTTATTCATATGCAGTTTACATCATGGCCTGATTATGGTTGTCCTGAATACCCAACAATGTTACTAAACTTTTGCCATCGATTTCGATGTTTAGTGCCATATACCGATAAATCTCTAACTGTTGTACACTGCAGTGCTGGAGTTGGTCGCACAGGTACTTTTATTATAGTCGATGAAATGTTGCAGTTAGTCAACACAGAACGAAAAGTTGATATTTTCAATTACTTTGAAGCTATTCGCCAAGACAGAATGCAAATGATCCAATCAAAAGAGCAATACATATTTGTTTATGATGCAATTTATGAAGCAGTAACATGTGGTCAAACTGGTATTTCAATTTCAAATTTTCCAACTACTCTTAACAAACTACTTGTAAAAGATTCTTCCACAGGAAAAGTACTTATTGAAGAAGAGTTTAAAATTCTTCAAAGTATTGTTCCAATTCAAGAAAATTGTTGTTTTAAAACAGCTTTGCTGAATGAAAATATGCAAAAAAATAGATATCCTCAGATTTTACCACGTAAGTTATGACATTTAAACTTCAATTTTTATTTTTTATTCAATATGAATAATTATTTTCTAAGTTTAAACAAACCTTATTTATGACCTTCGCCTACTTAAAATACATAATCTAATATTTTGCATTTTTGACTAAAAAATAAATGGCCATTCCTATATTTAAATTTTTTTTGTAGAGTTCTAAAATTAAAAAAAACCACACTATATAAAATGAATGTTGTGCCATTTTATTTTTACAATTGTAGCCACTATTATTTTTTGCTCTACAAAGTTTTTGAGTTTTTTAATTAGTGATACAAACAACTAACATTACCAGGAATGTGTTAGTAAAACTATGATCCAAATTTTTTTTTTTTTAATGTTCTGCAACATAAATTAACTGATAAAAAAAAATCACATCACAAAATTTCCACTAAAACAATATATAAAATATGTTGTGTTTTGTTTGTTTGTTTATCTTTCATAGTTAAGTGAACTTTAAAACTTTATTTTTTTTTTATTTTGGTGCCCCAAGAAGACTCTAATGGTCTTGTCACAGAGCACCTTAGAAGTGCATTTAACTAGGAAGTTTACGCCTCCTTCCTTATCGTGACGCAAAAATATGTCCAGAGTTATTTTCAAAACTTAAAGTGGTTAAAGCGCTTGCTTCTAAAGCAAGTGCTTTAACCACTGCGCCATGGCCACAGTTTTAATCAAAAATTCAAAATGTTTTATTAAGACTTGATTAAAATTTAATGATATTAACACAGTTTAATAATATCAGTACAGTTTAATGATATCAGTACAGTTTAATGATATCAGTACAGTTTAATGATATCAGTACAATTTAATGATATCAGTACAGTTTAATGATATCAGTACAGTTTAATGATATCAGTACAGTTTAATGATATAGTTAGAATAATCTACAATCTTTTTGGTGATTTAATAAATAATTTAATAAACAATTCAATTCAATTTTATAAAATAATTTAATAAATTGATGGTAACTTTTAAACCGTTATTGCTTGGTTTTTCCAATTTCAAATATATGTTATTATTATTATTTTTATTAATATTATTTTTTCAGTATTTGCATCAGGTTTTTGATTGCTTATCCAACTATAAATATTGACTTTAGTTTAGGATTTCATACAAAATATCTTTTTGAACTTTATGTAAACTGTCTAAAAATTTGCCACCAACTAATTAATATGTTTCCAATCAACTTCAGATTAGCTTAAAATCTAGTTAAATCATCAGACTTGTACTGCAAGTTTGCATTAGTTAAAACACTTTTAGTATTGTAATTAGTGCAAATGCTGTTGCTTGGATTTAAAGTTTAAGTAGATATTTTGAAAGTTTTTTAGTTTAACAGATTAATTGATCTTTCTCATAGACATATGCAATAAACTCCGAGAAATTCATTGACTTTAACATGAATAATATCTCCTAACTCAAAGAAATCAAAATGTGGAAATACAAACTGTTTTAAATTTAATAAATTGTTTATTTGTTAGTAATTTTAATGACCCTTTTGTAAGTCAATTTCATCAACTAAAACCACCCAGTCAGAATTATCACATTTTCCAAATGTGATAATTCTTTATCACATTTTCCAAATGTGATAAATTTAGTTTTTCTGAGAATCTATAGTTGTGTGATAAATATCACAAACAAAGCAAAAAGTAATTCTTTAATAACAAAGTAAAGATTATTACTTAAGAAAGTTTTTTGGATAACATAGTTGGTTTTAAAGTAAAGATTATTACTTAAGTAAGTTTTTTGGATAACATAGTTGGTTTTAATCCAATAAGTAAGGTTCAACATTTTGTTTAAACCTTACTTATTGGATTTGATATAGATTTTTTAAATAAATAAATAAAGACAATTTTTATAAGAAACTTGAACATAATCAATTTCGTTCACAAAAATGCAGATTTTAAGACTGAAGTTGTAGATGTCATATAAATGGATTATATATGTTTCTGTAATTCATTAGCTTACTATTGTTTAAAGTAAATTTGAATTACGCATATTTAAAGTTTTTTATGATTAGAACTGTTTTGCTCTATCTTGAAGTTATAATACAATATTTTTTTTATAGGAGAGGATGCATTGGTTTCTAGAGAACCCTACCTGAATGCTGTATTTGTTGATGGTTATAAAAGAAAGAAAGCATTTATTGCAACTCAGTGTCCACTTGAAACGACTGTCACAGAGTTTTGGGATGTTTTAAAGAAACTTAATGTTTCAACTATAGTATACCTTACCTCTCATTGCGAACAAAAAGAAAAATCTTATTATAAATTTTATCCATCGGATTGTGATTTAAAACTTAATGGTATCACTGTAAAACTGACTGCTGAAGAGAAGTTAGAATCCATAATAAAAAGAAATTTGAGTGTTACTACTGAGGTATAATTTTATACTTATAGATTTTTATATTTTTAATTATATAACTAACAACAAAAAATTATTTTTACATGTAAAAATGAAAATAAGTTTGCAAATTTTATGTTTTGTCTTAGCCAATACTCATTTAAATTAATTAAACTTTAATCTAAACAAATGTAATTTTTAGATGATTTATTTCATTTCTGAAATTTTTTTTGATGAATACTAAAAAGTTATACATAAAGTTAAATTAGTATAACTATGACTAAAATTTTATAAAAAACAAGTTAAAAAAATGTCCAGTTAAAGAAATAAAATTTTATTACAAGGATTTCTTAGAAATGCTGCAACCAACTTTAGATTTTCATGTTTACTAATACTTTAGCTGTTAACAGCTGTTAAATTTTCATTCATACTTTGTAAATAAAAAATTTATACTAAAAGAATTGTTTTCCTATTTGTTAAGTAATGTTTTTTAAAAAAATTGTGGCTATGAAACTAGACTAGTTTTATAAAGCAAACATAAAGAAAAAATTTTTTTGTCCAACACTTTAACTTTGTTGTTAAATATTTTGTTTAAGAATTTTTCATTTAAGAAAGTGCTTTGATAACTCTAATTAAAAAATTAATGTTGGTAGTTAAAATTTTTAATTATAAATAAAAAGTTAATAATGAAGAAATTAATAAAGGGTTTTATAAATTTTTATCCATATAGTTAATATTGTGTATATAAGTGTTTATATTGAAAGTATATTGCTTTTTTTTTCTTAGTGTTACAATATACTAGGTTTTCTAGAAAATAAATAGTGAACTTAAGGAAATTATTGGTTTGGAATTATACCTGTTTTTTTTGCAATTGTAATAATTTATGATAAAAATACTATAAAAAAACGTTTTCAATTACTTTTTTTTTACTAAAAAAAATTTTTTTGATATATCCTAATAACTTATAACCCCAAACACCACCCCAAAAAACAAATTTTGTAATAAGATTTGTCAATGCCTATATAGTTATCCAGTGACAAAATGGATAATTATAGTGAAAAACCTTTAGTTACAGCAACAACTATGGAACTTGCAATTGTCCTATCTTTGCTGCTGCTTAACACTCTTGTATTTGGTTTGAAGGCCTACAACATGACAGATCCAAGTGCAATGTTCTAAACTCAGCATGTAAAACCTGTGGAAACAATAAACACTGGGCAGTTGTCTGCTTAAGTAACACATTAAACCAAAACAACCACACGATACTAAAGTACTCAAACAAAACACACATAAAGGTTGCATCAACATGTTATGAAAGTAACATCAAGATAACATTCAACATACAGCTACAAATTTAGTCTCTACAAATTAAAAATTAGGCCTTAAAATTTTAACAACTAATGAAATACCAGTATTAGCCCTCATTGACACAGGCTCTGACAAATAATTTATTTCCTTAAGGTTTATGTCTGATCAATCTGCTGCAGATAAATTACCAGGTAAAAACTGTGGCCAATATAATGGTACTTCAGGCAAATAGAAAATTGTATGAATTTTAAAAATTCCCATTTGAATGGACAAATGCCTTAGCCATTTTTCAAAGCATCATGGATTACTTGTCTCATAATATAAACAAAAAATCGATCCTTATCTAGATAATATTACTATATTCAAAAAGAAAATTACAGAAACTTCAAAGCATTTAAAGCAGCAGCAAATAACTTCGAAATGAAAAAAAGTTTTCTTGAACCTCACTTCAAGAAAACTTTTTTCACAAAAATATGCTACTCCAATCAACATTAAATAATTAAACAACTTTATAAGCTTTTTTGCATATTATGCTAAATGGACCTTAATTGTACCAACTACTAACTAAATAATTTGGTGAAAGATCACTACATCTGTCCATCAACATCTGTAGAATAGTTCAAGATCATCTGTACACTTTTCTCCAAGATCATTTGTATTTTTTTTTTTACTCTATGTCCAATATCATCTGGAAGTTCAATGACCCCTAACAACATCTTTAGGAAAGTGTAACTAAATCTGGTAATTTTTCTCCAAGTCCAATAACATATGGAAAAACTTCCTCCATATGTAATTACATCTGAAAAAAATCTTATATCTACATCTGGGTAAAATAATGCATTATTATTTAATAATTTCATAAAATTCTGTAGTTATATTGAATATAATTGAAAAGATGTAACTACATCTGTAGAATTTACAAATGTAGTTATTATTAACATAATTGAAAAGATATAACTACATCTGTAAAGTTTCCAGATGTAATTGCACAGATGTTGTTATACTTAGATAATTGAAAAGATGTAACTTCATCTGTAGTAATCATATACTTTTTACACAGGTGTTATTGGACATCAATGAAGTTTCAGATGCTGTTGGACAGATGTTATTATACCTCATTATATTTACAGATGTTGTTGGACAGATGTTATTAGACAGATGTTGGACAGATGGACCCTGACCCAAATAATTCTAACTACTCTACTAAATAATTTCTGGTGACTCAATAAGAAAAAATATCCCTCTTTCATAAAAATCTTTTTCAGCTAATAAACAGCTTAAAGAAAAACTAAATACTGAATCTTTAGTAATACATACCCAGATATCCCACTCAAAATTGGAACTGACACTTCTCAAATTGTAAATGGTGGAACACTAAGCCAAGAAGGAAGACCTACTGCATTTTTCTCTAGATCTTTATCAAGAGTAGAAAATCTCCAATGAGAAGCAATGACTATTATGGAGTGTTTTCACCAATAGAAACATGTTTTCCACGTCAAAAATTATTGTTTTAACAGACTGAAAGATGGCATTTAAAACTATCTGATTATCAACTTAATATTTTATACAGATCTGGACTGAAAAATTTTGCTGCAGATGCACTTTTCTAATGTCTTGCCACAAATACCAATTTTAGTTCTCTTCAACAACTATAATATCAAACTATGCCACCCAAGAGTTACACAACTAAACCACTACTGTAACACACAAAACTTATCCTACCTTGGTGAAATTAGAAACATGTCACTTATGCTGGGAGTTCAAACTAAAATTTTTCCAACCGCCACCAGGTCAACTTATATATTCTACTAGACCATGGAAAAGATCTAATTTAAATTTTGTTTTGTATAAATTTTGAGCTATTATAAACTGACTGGGTATTGGTACTTCTTGCAGCTCTATCCTCTCTTAGATCACTACTATTTACAACTACAAATTTGCATAACAAACTAATAGTTTTCAAACCCACAACTGTAACTGGTGTTAATTTATTAGACTCTGGTAATACTATCTTGCACAAAAATCAAAGTTTAAAAGGAGATCCACTGGTAGAATAAGTTAGCTTGAAACCATATCATGCCTATGCACATTTAAAATATATAAAAATAACAGAATTGACACTGTATTAACACATCGCTTAGCATCATGTGCAACTCCCCACATTGAAGAAATAGTTCAACCACCTGAAAGCTTTAAAATATGTTTCCTACCCAAAGAGAAAACAGCTTTAAATACTAGTAAAAACATAGAATCTGATTAAAATAACCTGAAATCAACAATTGGTTACTGTTTCCCATTTGCTGCTAATGATTTATTTTCTCCTAATAAAACAAATACAAATACCAATAACTTAAACCATTATAATAATACAATAAAAATCAATCTATAAAAAAATATACTAGTTAGGGGCAAACTTTGAGGAACTATTTATTTAAAAAATTAAATGATTTAAATTAAAAATTTATTAATTGATAATAAAAATAATAATAAAAAGATATTTTATAATAAGTTATTAACACCACCCATAACCTAAAGCTCTAGTGGTACTACTACTTAGAACCTACTAAATATTACCAACTGCTTACACCGTATTAGTAGACCTCCATCTAAGCTTAATTTGTAATAAAAGTGAACTAACATAATTAAACAAAAAAACAAAAAAATATATATAGATCTGATAGTGGCCTAACGATTGTCCGAGTTATGCTAATTTAATAAAGTTACTTAACACTAACAACTTTATCTATAAAAGACTTTTCTGAGTTGAAAAATTGCACTGTTCTCATCATAAGCATTAATGACTCAATGACAACTTTAATTATTAATATCATCAACATTAATGAGCCATGGTCATGAGATAAGTAGTATTCTCAAGTGATAGTAAATAGTAAATAAACTTTGGAGCAAAGTTGGATTGAACCATGTTAGTCAATCCTTGTTGTTGGATGTAGAGAATGCTTGAAATAAGATCCATTGTATACAAATGATAAATGAAAAACTATAATTTTTTTCATAAATTTAGAACCTTTTAGGTCACATTTAAATTACATAAGGTTATTTTGAAGATACAAGGAGCGTGTGAAATAAAAGCAAATTTATGTTAAATATAAAATCTATAATGTTAAATATAAAATCTTAATATAAAAAATATTAAGATTTAAAACTCATAGTACTATTATTCTATGCAGTAAAGTTTTTTTTGCTGTAAAACAAAAGTCTACAATGCAATCTTTTCTAAAAAGTTTCTTTTTTGCTGTTTTAAATGCTTTAAGTGAAGACTTGTAAGAACGGGTCTTTGTATCTAACAATTGGTTTAATGTGTTGCACAATTTGTTGCCTTTCTGTCGCTCTCTGCCAATAAAAGTGCTTCATACATCAGTGTATTGTACTTGGTAGAAGTCACTCAACGGTATGACATGATTATTAACACACTTGGTCATGTAATTCTAATAGTTGTCAGCTCTACCACCAGGAGGTTGATCAATAACAACCCAACCGGCACATTAAGTTGTAAATGCACATTTAAAACTTGTTTGAATACACATTATTCAGGTATGTATGTTAGCCATTTTATGGTGTCAAACATGCATTAGAAATACCCTTTAGATGTGTTTAAAAATGAGTATGCAATGTGCATCCTACTGAGTATCAAGTTCACATTTGAAACTCTTGAAAATACGCATAAAGCACTGTAATAGATATTATTCAATACAATGTTTTCTTGGTAT